AAACTCTTTAAGAGCTAGGGAAATAATGGTAAAGCTTTAAGACTCACTCTGGTTTAAATTCACAAAATCAAAGACAGATTAGTTGTCAGTCTTAACAAGAAAGTAAGGAAACATTTCATCAAATGATGCAGAGTACTGGACCTAGAGTACAGGATCCTCAGCCCACACCCAGGTCAGATACTAGCTAGTTGTGTCACCATGGGCAAATGCCTCAGTTTCCTTCCATGTAATATGAAAATATAAATATTTTCACAATCTACCTCATAGTTATGAGGAACATTTATAAACTTTAAATCACAATATGAGTTATTTTAATCATAAGGAGTTTTCAAAAATACAAATATAGAGCCAATATGGAAACAACAGATACAACACAATGTTTCAAAGAACACATTAGATTAATATACCTCATGGGAGAGCGAAGTTTATCAGTACAATAATAAATCTAATGCTGGCTCAATACCTAACAAATATTAGCTAATCAATATCACTTGCCACAACTTAGTGTTCAGATGACCAAAAAGTAGGGGGAAAGCACTTAAAACTAAGACCTTATTTTAGCTCTTATTTTAGGAAAGAAGAATCAATTTACAAGTAGTTCCATTATGTACAGAAAACTTCTGATTTCTCCAATTCTGCCTTTAGGATAGATTTCAGAACCTAGGCTGCCTTAATTTTAGTGTTTGAGTGTTTTCTTTTTAGGTTTCTAGGTAAATTGCTTAGAACTAAATATAGGACACCACAGACTTAATTCAACAAAACTCACCTTTTCAGGTTTCTAATCCAAATTCATAACTGGAATCTAAACCAAATCATCTGCTTCTATTTCATTAGAAGGTAATTAAGCACATCTCCCTTTCCAGGGTGCTATGGGGATCAATTAATCAACAAACATTTATTAAGGAGTGTGTGTGTGTGTGTGTGTGTGTACACACAAAGAACTATATTACATGGGAGCAATATTTAAAATTTAGATTAGTTATGACTCCTTACCTCAAGAAACATATAATCCAGTAGGGGCCTTAGAATCCAATACTGATAACTAGAATACACACTTATTAAAAAATAAAATTTTGTATCATAACTCTTTAATACACTAGTATAATACCTGAGCAGATAGGTCCTAATCAACATTTCCAATTGAATGTTTCATAGACATGTAAACTCAATATGTCTTATCTATTTCTGTGAAAGGCACCATCACCCTTCTAGGTATCCAAGTTGACAATAACATCAAGAGTCTCCTCTCAACTTTTCACCCTCCCTCATCCTCCCTTCTCTCTCTTCCCAATATCCAATTAGCTGCTAAGTCTCAGTAATTCCATCTCCACAACCACTTTCTCATCCACTCTCTTCTTTCCATCCACACAGCCACCACTCCAGTTAAGACCCTCATCACCTCTAAGCTGCACTACAGTGACAGTCTCTTAATTGGTCTCCCTGAATCAAGTCTGTTCCTTCTCCAGTCCACACATATAGCACAGGAATATGTTACTCCTCTTCTCAAAAAGCCCTGATGGCTCCTTATTGCCTCTGGGATCAAATACAAACTCTTCTGCTTAGCATTTAAACTCTTCCCAATCTCGTTGTAGTATATCTTTCCAAGTTTATTAAATATCACTCTTCTTTCATGCGTTTTATGTTCCAAACAAAGGGGCCTCCTTGCTGCTGCTGACACACAACGTTCCATCTCCTGTCCTCCTATATTTGTGCCTCTGCACAACCTGCAATGCACTCCTGCTATACCTCTGCCTCTTAGAATCTCTTGCTTCCTTCAAAGTTGAGCTAAAGCGCCACATTAGGCCTTTACTGATCACGGGCAACTAGAGCCTCCCAAAGAAAGCTACCACGTGATAACTTTGCATACAGTTTGTTTTTACATATGTCTCCCAATAGAATGTAACTTCCTTCAAAGCAGGAACTATTTAATTTTTGTCTTTGAATCCCCAGCACCAAGCACAGTTCTTGATGGGTAGTAGGCACTTGATTGATTTATTAATTGGTGGGCGTAAAGGAAATCAGAAAAGACTTTGGGAAGAATTAGGATTAGATTTAGGGCAGAAAGGGACCTTAAAAAATCATCTAGTCCAAAGCCTCATTTTAAAAAGGAGAGCACTGCAGCATAGAGAGGTTAAATAACTTGCCTAAGACCACACAGCTAATTAAATATCAGAGACAGAATCTGTACTACTACTCTAAATTTACCATTCTCTCCACTATGCTGCCTCCTAGAGAGCATTTGGTTGAGCTTCAAATGATGCACAAGAATTCTACAGGCAAATAAGGAGATAGGAGACATTCCAGACATAGAATACACTGACAACAAAGGTACAGAAACATGTTCAAGAGCCGTAAGTAGTCTAGTTTAGCTCAGTCAGAACACATGGATAAGGCTAGAAAAGCACAATGGCACCAAATTATAGGGGTCTTGAACTCCAGCAAAGGAGTTTGAACTTTACTTGGAGGAACCATTGAGTACTTTTGAGCAGAAGAGTGAAATGACAGATCTATGTGTAAGAATGACTATTCTGGAAGGTCACAGAACAGGAATGAAGATAAATTACTAGGAAGAAAGGGATTTCACACAGTATAATGAAAACACCTGATTAGGAATCAAGATACCTGGGTCCAGTCACAACATAATACTTACCATGGAACCAACCATTAGCAAGTTTGTTTAATCTCCCTGGGCCTAAATTTCTTTATCTGTTAAAATGAGAATAAACAATCCCTGCCCTGCCTTCTCTCAAAACTGAATGTGGATGTCAGTATAGGAAGAAGTTTTAAAGATCAAGTCCCAGGCTCTAGTTTTATAGAAAAGGAATCTGAGACCTAGAGATGGGAAGTAACTGGAGACATGCTTAGTAAAATGTAAAGGTATGCCAAAAAACTTTTACTCCTCAACCCACATTATTATGAGAAAAGCACTTTATAAGTTGGAAGCAGCTGTGTTATAGTAGCAAGAACACTTGCCATGAAGTTGGTTAATGAAACCTGGAGAAGGAAAAACTTAGTGGGGACATGTTAGCTGTATTCAAGCTACTCTCCCAATCCAGGGTTTGCTTAATCACCAGCTACCCAGCATTAAACTATGCCCAACCTCTACCTCCAACTCTGTCAACCCCACCTTCCTCAACCTTACCCCACCTCTCACTCCAATCCTGCCCACTCCTACTGCGCCCTCTGGAATTTACCTTTTGTAGTCCACAAATTTCCTTTCTTTTTGGACATCTTCGTCTCATACTCTATCTTCTTGCTCTCACTGAAACCTGGCTTCCCCTAAATACTACATCCCTTGCCACACACAACCTATGCTGTTCCCAAACAGAGCTAGAATCCTTGCTCCCCACTGCCACCAATTTTGTAGACATCATTTGGAAACTTCTCCTTTTAAGTTCACTCAACTGCGATTTTTCCACCTTATTCAAATCATAGTAGCTGGTGTCTAGCAATTCCTTTCTCAAGGAATTCAGCACCTGGCTCACTGTCTTCCTCTCCTTCCCAACTCCTTTCTTATACTAGGAGACTTCAACATTTTTGTTGATAATTCCTCAAACATCCCAACTTCCCAGTCCATCAATCTCAAGTCCTGTGCCCTGCTCTTCCAATCTCCAAACCCTCTTCCCATTCCCCAGGGATGTTTACACTCTAGATCTCACTACTACCCACAAGTATTCGCTTCTTTGACCCAAACCTTTTACATTCTTCTAACCATAAAGTCCTATCATTCCATTCTCCCCTATGCCTCCTCTCTGAAACCTTTTCTTCAAGAAGTAATACTTGTCAGCAGTCTCCTAGCAAAGTGCCTGACAGCTATGGGGCCTTTGCACTGGCCATCCCCTATATCTGGAATACATTCCCCGTACATCTTCTCATAAAATCTTACTCTTTAAAGATGTAGTTCAGGCACCTCCTTCTATATGAAGCCTTTCATGATTCTCCCAAACTACTAATGGTCTTCCAATCTTATATTTATGTAGCATATACACATGTACACACACACACAGCAGGAAGTTTTGTTTTTTCTATTTGTATCCACATCATCTAGCAGCATGCTAGATGCCATATTTGTTGTTGTTCAGATGTGTCTGGACTCTTCATGACCCCATGAACCAACTTCTCCATAAGGCTTTCTTGCAAAGATACTGGAGTGGTTTGACATTTCCTTTTCCAGTTTTATGCAGGCAGAGTTTAAGTGACTTGTTCAGGGTCACAGAGCTAGGGTCTGAGGTCATATTTGAACTCTGCTCTTTCTGACTCCAAGACCAGTGCTCTATCTGTTGTGCCACCTAACAACCCCAAATGCCATATACTAGGTACTTAATAAGTGTCTGTTGATTGACTGAAGTATATGGAAGGCTGTCAAGTTGAAGAGGAATTAGATCTGCTCTACTGGGCCACAAAGGAAAGAACTAAAAGCACTGAGTATATATTACAGAGAGGCAAATACAGGTTCAATGTAAGGCAAAACTTCCTAAAAACTAGAAGTGCCCCAAAGTAGAATGTGCTGCTCATGAGGTAATGGGAGTGCCTCCTCATCGATCAAAATCTCCAAATGGGAAACTAGACAATCAACTGTCAAGTCCAATATGTTACGGATGTAATAATCCTGGTCCCTAGACTGAATGACCTGTTCTTTCCATTCTGAGTTAATGCTCTACACTTCCTAGCTGGAAGGCTTTGGGCAAGTCACTTCACTTCTTAGGGCCTCAGTTTCATCCACAAAACAAGGGGGCTGAGCTAAATGATCTCTAAGGCTCTTTCTACCTGTACACCCTATGCTGGTAACTCAGTTTAATCCTTTTAGCCTCGGTTTTTCTCATTTGTAAAATAGGGCCAGTAATACCTGGACTGCTGCCTTTTTTTCTGAGAAGCCAATGAAACATGGTACGCAAAGAGTTTTGTAAATGTTTTGTAAATTCCCGGGCCGGGAGATGAGGAAGGTGTCATTATTCAGGCACTTGTAACGGAGGGGAGGTGGGGGTATGAAAAGATATTACCTCAGTGATGGGTGGAGGCGGCGGCAGCTCAGACAGGGGCAAAGGGGCCAGGGAGAAGGCCAGTTCCGAGGCCCTGAAACAGAGAAAGGCAGAGCCAGTGAGGGAGAAGGGCATCCGAAGCAGACCGCCCAGGCCCGGCTTCCCACTCCAGACCCTGAGGCCTTTACCATTTCCCACTGTGCTGCAAACCTCGCTCCCGGCTCAGCCCCGCGATCCGGAGGAGCTGCTTCTTGATTTCTCGCAGATCTGAGAAGTCGCTGCAAGTCCCCGAAGCCACCACAGAAGGCATAGATGCCGCAGCGACGGAGACCAGAGCAGCCATCTTCCTGGCTCCGTCCCCTTACCCTGGCCAATCACGCGAGGTGATACTTGCTGGTGATCATCTAGCAAGGAGCCCCGTGGCTATAGGGCACCTCCCGTGGCAGAAAGACCAATCAGAACGAGGGCTTTTCATCCCGTCCAGAATAGACTAAGTAGGCACAGAGGCTGAGCCCTCTGATTGGCTGGGTGTCGTTGAGGCGGGAAAGTCTGAACTAAAAAGTCAAAAGGGCCCCGACACCTGGGCAGGAGGTGGCGGGGAGGAGGGAAGAAGAGAGCAGCGGGCCCCTCCCAAATAGGAATGGTGCTGGACGTGAACCGGGGACGATGATTGGATGCTGGACAAGACTGGTGGGCGGAGCCTGTGTAGAGCTGGGTGGGACCCTGGAGGCTTGGTTTGTTCCTATGGTGATGAGAGGCGTGGTCAGAATAAGGGGCGGGGCTAAAAATCTGCCAATTTAACAGAGTACCTACCAGGTGTGGCCGGGACTTTCCAACTCACCTGAGTCTGCAGGGCAAAGTCCTCACTTCTTGTGTTTATGTCAGACCGCATTTGTACTTATGGCTGTAACATGTTCTCCAGAGAGGATGACCACCATTCAATTCAATCAAAAAAAACATTAAGTGCCTACTAGAGGCCATCTCCAGCCGTCCCGATCTATAGACCTGCCACTAGACCTGGTCTAGACTTGGTCCTCTTTTTTTATGTCTGGCACGGTGCTAGACTATAAATAGAGACACTATAAAAGTCGGCCCTCAAGGAGTTTACATTTGAAAGGGGGCTGGGAGGAAGGAGGAAGGTGATGTGATATGTACACAGATGAATTAAAGCAAAGTAATTTCAAGGGAGAGAGCTGAAAAAGGTGAGGGAGGGATGGGAAAAACCTGAAGCAGAAAGTTGGCACCTGGGAAGAGAAGAAATTTCCTTTAAAGGGATCAATTCAGCTAATGGGACAGTTTGAGTGGTGAAGGAATTGGGAATTATGTCATTTAAGGATCATTTCAAGGAGCTAAGGATGTTTACCCACAGAAGGAAGGGTTTTGGGTAGAGATGATCACATTTTTCAAGTATTTGAATTGTCCCAAGGAAGAAAGGTTAAAGTAGTTTTGCTTGGCCCCCTAGTGGAGAAGCAGGGGATTGAAGTTATTGCAGAGGCAAATTTAAAATCCTTAAAAGGGAAAACTTCCTAACAGTTGTAGTTTGTGCTGTTTTAGAAGAAGACCATGACATCAGGGAGGTGATGCCATGACATGCAAGGAAATTGGATTTAAGTGAGGGAGGGCTGTGCAAAGTCACCAGCCTCCCTTTCTCCACTGGGTCCAGTGGCAAGATATAGATCAGGATATCTGGAGAGGACCCTGGATGCAGTGAGACACCTTGGGCTTTTTAAACTCAGGTCAGATCTCAGTTTGACTGAGGCAATGCCTAGCCAGCGATTAAAGCGAGGTAAGAAATGACCAACAATTAGAGCTATCCAGATAAGGAATAACCAGCCTCAAAAGGCAGTGAGTTCCACTCCCTGGAAATCTTTAAGTGGAGATTTGATGACAAACTACAAAGATCTTATAAAGACATACACAAATCTCTACTGTATTTTCAGTTCATCTTTACTTATATGTTTCTATGTTGATTCCACCCAGAAAATGGAGGTTTCTTGAGAGCAGGGACCATTTCTCAGGTTTGTCTTTGTATCTTCACCATTGAGCACTGTGATTTGCATATATCTGACACTCCTTGTTTAACCATTTTAATAATTTGCTGTCAAAATTAGCTAGAACGTGGAAATTTCTTGGTACTTCAAAACAACCCAATGTGAAAGACTACTGAGACCTGAAAAAGTGACGCTATATATTTAATATATATATAAATTTTATATGTGAATTTTCTATAATTAATCTTAGCTATTTAAAGGTATGACCAGCTAGGTGGGGCAGAGGATACCAGGCCTAGAGTCAGGAAGACTCACCTACCTGGGTTCAAATCTACAGAAACTTATTAGCTATGTGACCCTGGGCAAGTCACTTAACCCTGTTTGCCTCAGTTTCCTCATCTTTGAAATGAGCTAAAGAAGGAAGTGGCAAACTGCTTCAATATCTTTGCCAAGAAAACCCCAAATGGGGTCACAAAGAGTTGGACAGGAATGAAAAACGACTGAACAACAAATGTAAAGGTATGGGCCATCTTTCTTAGTCTGGCGTATTGCTTAATAAATATTAGATCTATGATGTTCACAGAATTAGTTGGTGGAGGCCATATGATACACTGGGAAGAGTACTGGATTTAGTGCTAGAGGACCTACATTCAAATTCTGACTTTCCTATTTAATATCTAGGTGAACATGAAAAAGTCATTTGACTTCTTTGTACTTTGCTTTTCTCATCTATAACATCCGGAGGCTGGACATAACAATTGCTCTCTGAAGTGCCTCCCAGCTCTAAATCTATGACTGACATACAGGATTATCCTATGATAATCCTAGGGACATATTAAAGGTGCAGGGCCCCTGCTCCCTAGTGACGGACTACAAATACTCTTTTTAGTACATAGTTATTCATTCGGATAAAATGTGCATTTGAATATTGGAAAATGGGTGGGAGAAGACGATCACATCTCCAACACCTGGAAGTAATCTGTGATCATTTACTGCCCTTACAATCCCAATGCCTTCCCTTCTAGCAAGAGCCTCAAATTTGGCTCTATGCCATGTAACCGGCCTTTTCCTCAAATCTTGCAGTTCCATTCCCTTAACACACATCTCTTTTTTTTTTTAATAAAGCAATTGGGGTTAAGTGACTTGCCCAGGGTCACACAGCTAGTAAGTGTCAAGTGTTTGGTCTGAGGCCAGATTTGATCTCAGATCCTCCTGACTTCAGGGCAGGTGCTCTATCCACTATGCCACCTAGCTGCCCAACACACATTTCTTACATACTCTAATGTTAATGAGTACTAATAGCTTGGTGCTAAGATTTTTTTTAATATGTTTTATCAATACCTTTTGTCTTTATATCACAGTCATTCCTTCTCTCCCTTCCAGATTGAACCCTTCCTTGTGGGGAAATAATTAAGCAAAATCATCTGATACTGAAACATTATATAACACTGTACAGAAGGCTATTCTAGTAATAGTCCGCCATCTCTCTGCCATAAGAAAAAGGTATCATTTATTACTTTTTGGAGAGACATTTGGGAGCATTTCTTAGTTATATCTCATAGCATAGTGTCACAGAACCACAGAATGTTAGAGTTGGAAGAAATCTTCAAAATAATCTAGAGCAGTGGTACCAAACTCAAATATACAGGGGGTGGCATTTCTGACTTAGAAAACCACAAATTAGCATCATCTATGTTACATTGTATTTTTATTTTGTTAAACACTCCCCAATTACATTTTAATCTGGTTCAAATTGAACTAAGGATTTTTTCAGCTACATGGGCCAGCCCTAGTGAGTTTGACACTTTTGATCTAGCGTAATCCTCTCATTTTATAATTGATAAAAGTAAAACCTAGAGAAAGGGAAAGGCTTTATCCAAGGTCACATGGATAATTGGAGACAGAATCAGCATTAGAGTCCAGGTGTCCTAACTCCCAACTCAATGCTTTCCCCTATGCTATATATAGTTTAGTTAGATTTTAATGATATAAGACAAAGGCTCTGGTACTTATTTTTGTTAACAAGATGGAGATATATGGATTAGGTAACAGAGCAATTAGGATATAAAAAGACTGATTAAATCCAGTTACAAAGAGTTAATGATTAATGAGCCCATTGGAAAGAAGTCCTTAGGGGAGTGTTTCAAAGTTCTGTGATCCATGAGGGAGAGGAGGGGAGAGATATAGGATGATAGCTAGCAAAGTGTCAGGACAGAGACAGTGCAGCCAGTTGGGGCTATGTCACCCCTGTCCCAAAGCCCACTGGTATGGGACTCTCTCCTCACTGGTGAAGATGAATGCCTTGTCTTGCATGAAAGATGGTGTGGAGTTGGCAACACTGGAAGAGCTACAGCCTTCCGTCCTCTGTGAGCTTTGAGTCAACTTCCAGCTTTGAGAGAGAAGATGGAAAAGACCAACCCCACATTAGGTTACTGAAGGAAAAGACTCTGAGAAGATATGAAAGGGGCAGGCAATTTCCATTATGTCCAGATTCCCAACTAGCAATCTTAGAGACTTAGGGGAACTTCTCCTTGTGTGAGATCTAGGACTCTCTCTCTCTCTCTCTCTCTCTCTCTCTCTCTCTCTCTCTCCTCTCTCTCTCTTTCTCTCTCATGAGCTGAGTTATCTTGCTCCCAACAGGAGAGCTCCTTCACCTTGTTTTTTCTGGTATATATTCTCCTAAGTATCCTTTCTATGATTTCTGTTTTGCTATGATTTGGGTAAATGGCTTTCTTTTCTTTCTTTTCTATGTATATTCATTATAGAACTGGTGTTTGGTGGGAAAGAGGTAAAGCCTTGGATATAGAACTTGGGATCCTCCTTTATCCCCAATAATGACACAGTGATCAGAAGTTAGATTAATTTCAAGCATATCCTCTAGACCAGGGGTGGGGAACCTTCAGCCTCAAGGCTTGGTGTGGCCCTCTAGGTCCTTGGGTATGGCCTTTTGACTGAGTCCAAGTTTTACAGAGCAAATCCTTTTATTAAGAGGCCTCACCCAAGGACCTAGAGGGCCATATGGAGCCTTGAGGCTGAAGGTTTCCCACCCCTGGTCTAGAGTAACAATATCTAAGGGAGCAGATAGCTATAATTCTAGCCCAGTGTCCTCTCTCTCAGGAGACAGCAAAGTGGTAACCTCTGGCCCCAAATTCCTGCTTCCTCTTCTGACGAGAATTTAAGTATCCCTTGGAGAAGAGTGAGGATAGAAGAGGCTAGATATATCTATTGAGTCTCCCTTTCAACTACACAACAACACCCCCAATGCTATAGGTGTGGGAGACGGTCTTTGCCACATGTGGGGCCTCTCTGTATTTGGGGCTCTCTCTCTGCAGGTGATTTTCTGAGAAAGCGCTGAGGGGTGGAGGGATTGGAGATCAAGATGAAGACAA